GGGAGAGGATATAAAAGGTGGTGGTGGTTTTGGTGGGAGAGAAAAAAAAAGACGATGGGGAAAGTGAAGGGGACAGAGGAGAGGCTTCTATGGAGCAAGCCTGAGAGAGAGACAAGCAGAGGGATCAATAAAGGAGCAGAGGCTGTGGAAGAAGAGCCCAGCAGAAAGTGAAAGAGAAAGAAAGGAGAGGGAAACAGGAAGAAGGGCTGACCAGCCACCTCACCACCAAGGTAGTGGTGCATATTAATAAATATGGGTAAATTTGTTATACGTTTGTCTGTGCAAAGGGAAAGCTGTTGTGATTAGCCGGCAGCAGGTGCAGATGGCTGAGGAGAGCGATGACTCTGATGAGGGGCCAGGACCATCAGGGAGTGGACTGCTGCTTTCAGAGATTATGGGGGCTGGCAGCAGTGATGAGGAGGTTCCCGAGGAGCCTGTGCCAAGTGCACGTGCATGAAGGATTACTCGGAGGAAAGAACAATTACAGCAGCACAGGCGACTCGGGAGTAAGGCTGCAAGGTAAGGGCCCCTCCCTCAAGAGGATAAAAGCCAGGTTTGAAAAAGCGTTCTTTGCAGAAAGCAAAGAAGCTCTGAAGCTCAACTTGTGGACATCTTAGTTCATGTTTGGAGAATCTTGTAAATTAGTTCTTATCTCTGGGTTTTTGGCAGCATTGACGAACACCTTGGCCAGGCTCTTTCTTGTCGGAGCTAATTAGTGGAAAGCAGCCTTTTATCTGTAAAGGAAAATAATTCATTATTAAATCTTAAAAGGTGGGGGCTGGGTGTTGGGTCAGAACAAAAGCAAAGGAACCGCCACTGAAGAAATTAAAACCATCACTGAATCGAAAATACAGTGAAGATTATTTGAAGTTTGGATTTTATTTCGCAGAAGAAAACGATCAGCACACCGAAAAACCAGTAGCAATTTTTGTGAAGAGAGACAAATTTATAAAATGCCATCCTACTTTCATGGAGTAGACAACCATCTCGAAAAAATGTCTGGAAGTATCTTATGAATTGTCCTTGATATCAGCTAAATGAAATAAGCCTCACATAATTGCTGAAAAAGTCATGGTTCCCTCTGCCATTGCAATAGCTTCAATTCTCTTTGATGAAAAAAATGGCTGATGCTATTTGTAATATTCCATGTTCTGATAACACTGTTCAAAGATGAATACAAGATATGGCCACAGACGTTACTCAAGTGGTGGAAAAGGTCACAGCAGCAGAAAAATTTGCATTTCAATTGGAAGAAAGCACTGACATCACTGGTGAAGCTCAATTAATTGTCTTTGTTCGTGTTCCTAATTTGGATGATATACTGGAACACGTATTATTTTGCCGCCCACTACCCCACTGCAAAACAACTGGGGAAGAAATATTCACAATAATCGACATTTTTTTCAGTGTATACGGAGTATTATGGACTTGGTATGTAGCAATTTGTTCTGATGGTGCAGCAGTTATTACAGGAAGACCTTCGGGCATGATAGCACAAGCTAAGACAAGAAACAGTTCCATTGTTTCAATTAATTGCATCTTACATAGACATGCACTTGCTTCTGAATGGATGAGCCCATTGTTATATGAGATTTTGGAGGATCCTGCAAAAATAATAAATTTCATCAAAAGTCAGCCATTAAATGGACGTTTATTCCGACAATTATGCAAGGATTTGGATTCTGAGCACAGCACTGTTCTCTTTCATACAGAAGTATGTTGGCTGTCGAGGTGTGAAACATTATTGAGATTATTTGAGCTACGAGATGAAACGTACCTGTTCCTGACGAATGTTTCATCACACCTAGCAGAAATGTTTGAAAATGTCTTCTGGGTGTCCTGCTTTGGTCATTTGGCTGACATATTTAAAAAGCTAAATGAACTTAATTGGTCACTGCAGGACCACGGTCATAACATGTTTATCATGGAAGACAAAGTTTCTGCATTCTACAAGAAAATCTCCCTGTGGATAGGCCAAGTAAAGAAAGGAAATATTGCATCACTTCCCAATGTGTCAGACTTTTTTGAACCAAATTCTGTTGTTGACACTGAAGACATTGAAACTGCCATCAAAAATCACTTGGAAAAACTGCACACCGAGTTTGTGTTGTATTTTCCATTTGTGTCAAGAGGATGTGATATTGGAATTCTGACTGATTTCTGGCGCCAAGTTGCAAAACTGTACTCGGAAGTGGGGGGGAAGCTATTGTAGCGTTACTGCCATTTAGTTCCACATACTTGTGTGAGAAGGCGTTTACTCCATTGATGTGTATAAAAACTAAGGAAAGGAATTTTCTTCAGCTGGAATCTGACTAAATTCTATCAGTAAGCACTCTCCAGACACAAGTGCAAAGATTAAATGTCAGAGAAACAAGTTTCCCATTAAAAGTGTGGTAAATGGGTACTTTATCACTTTTTTCCTTTTTTTTGTTATCAGATTTTTGACACCTCGCTAAGCCACTGGTGGTACTCAAATACTGTCATGTCCTAAAAGTGGTACAATCTGTGAAAAGGTTGAAAAGCATTGGTCTAGAGGCATACTATAAGGTCATGACTCTACCTGACAGAAAAGAGTCCATATAATCTACTTCTGAGTCCTTTGCAGATGTCAAACAACCATCTTCTCAACAACCTCCCTAAGAGGGGAAAGTTGCAAACTGAGTGATAGCTGTCCAGTGCAGTTTGGTTAAATGTTAGCTCCTTAAGGAAAGGATGTACAAATGGCACTTTCAAAGATATCCCACAAGGTGTGTACCATGGCTTGACCCATCTCCCCATCTCCTTGGCAGCATGCACAAGCCAAATGAGACAGGGTCAAGCTCATCTCACCAAAAACTGCCCATTTCCACAGGATCAACATGTGCAAAATCTTTCCTAGGAAACCTTTCAACACATCAGCCTCATGCTTCTCTGGACTCTGTCCAAATGGCTTCTGACTCCAAGCGAACAAGTGTGATTATTATCCATAAAGAGCTTTGCTAGCATTGTCGTGGGTGGGGAGGCTCTCATTTCCTAGTCCGAGAGGTCACTCCTTCTGTAAAAGAATCTGGTACACTTTAAAAAGGGCCCTGGACAGCAGTCTGTAGATGCAACAAGAATGGAGAAATAACCTATACGCGCAAACATGCATACTCACTTTTCGAGTTTGCATCTTTTCTGTTCGCCTTCTAAATGCAACATAAGGATCATTTGTGCTGGAACCATCACGCTTCTCCTGTTTCACTGCTGAGATAAGAGAGGGACGTTGACAGTTTTTTCTCTTTTTAATCCAGTACTCGTATATTTCTCTAATCAGTTCATCATCTTCCTTTAAGAGTAGTTTGGCTTCCTGCAGGCTGACTGGCTAAAGGGAAAATTCAAGTATGTCAGTTTTATATATTTATACACTTAAAACAATTTTAAATTTGAAACAATACTATACCTGCTGACCACTTCCTTTTTCAAGCTGAACTATCATTTCTTCAAACTGCAAAGGAGAAATATCTATTTTTTTCTTCAGCTTATTCACAAAGGCCTCATCTTCTGATTCCAAATCATAATCCAGTTGCTCAGCATTCAAACTAAAAGCTGAACAGAGAAAAACATTTTTTATGTATTTCAAATAATCTATGCAAAATGGAATAAAGTAATTTAGATGTACATCTGGAATTGTTCAGTTAAACAATTGATTTTATAGGAGCTGAAGACAATAGAGTTTAATACATCTTTCAATTAGAAGTGTTTAAAAATATGTATATATCTGCCATCTTGAAATTTGATTATAAAATTAATCTTAACCAGGTAGATTAAAATGCAGATAAATGGCTGAAATGTTAACAAATGAATAATATTTCAAGTCACTTTCAGTGAAGCCATGGTCAGCAGCTGACACACCCAGATATCTCCTCTCTCTGGACTGTCGTTTTTCTAACTCAACAACAGAAGGAACAGGCTTTCTTTCATTTATTTGACCCTCCTGGATTAGGGAGTCTCAGAATCATCCCTTAAGATCTTCTGGTAACAGCAACAGTCTGCAAGTTTTAGAAGCCATGCTACAGAATAGCTGGTGAGCTGAAGGTGGCGGGTGGGGTCAAAATCACGTGTCAGCTTTGGAAGCCATATTCCACACTGTCACATAGCCTAAGAAAGTGGAAGGGGGGTGATTTCAATTGAGTAGTTCTAAGTAGACAAAATAAAATTATTTTCTTAGTTCAAGGTTATTTAAGTGTGGCACAGCAGAGAAAAAGGAACTTACACTGGGACAGATCGTGATTGGTCCATGTGCTGTGATGATGGGAGAAAAGGGAATGGATTGTAGTTTAGGACATTGTGGGAAGTCCGGGAAACTTTTAGTTTCAAGATTCCAGATGTGCCAGGCGCTATTCTAATAAAGGTACTTTTGAAATTATGCTTGTCTCGGAGTTACTGATTGGAATGGAGGTTCGCTGGAACGCTGACATTATCTCGAAACTCCTACAACCTCCAGCACCCCAAAAGGGGGCTGTCAGGGGTGCTGAGCCCCATAACTGATTCCCATATGGATCAGTGCAAAGACTCAGTGAAGATCTAAGAATGAGACTGGAGGAGAAGCAGCCTCTCCAGATGACCTGGATCCTAACACAGCAAACATTTACATTTCCTAGTCCAAGAGGAGGAGGGGGTTTCACTGTGGCATCAGTTGGAGATGGCCTGCGAAGCATCCCAGCCTGGCAGGATCAAGTTTCAAGGGAGAGATGGCAGATGCAGCCAACATTGGGTACCTTACAAACCCCAAGCCCTTCCCCTCCACAACCCAAAAGGAGATTTACCCATTGCAGAGAGTATTCCTCCAGGGTGGGGATTTTATCCTGGTCAAGGGTGGGTCCAATGCCAGTGAATGCCAGCACCCATTGCACCACCTAATTCAGGAGCACCCTGGCTCCAAAGAGATGCATCGATCCCTTATCAGCAAAGGGATCTGCGCAGGCAGCAGACAGCAGCCACCCCACCCACCCTCCACTCACGGAGAAGAATACAACAAATGGCCTTTTCACAGCAAGGTTCCTAGATTCCTTGGCAGGCTCCTTACATTCCAGCTCAGCCCGCAGTTGCTATGGTGATCCCACCCACCCCCTCAGACCAGACCAAATGGTTTTTAAAGCAAAATTGATGGAAAACACGAACATTTTGCTTATTTTCTCACTCAGATCTGGTCCCACATAGATCAATTTGGAGCCCAGTATGCAAAAGATCGCGATCTGGTGACTGCAATCACAGATGGAATGAATGAGGGGGATGCTTCTTATTGAGTGGCCCAATTGCACTACAAACAAGTTTCAGAAATTAATGATATCAATGCTTTCCTGCAAATCCTTAAGTTTCGATTTTATAATCCTGATAGGATTGGGGAAAATGAAGAAAAATTGACGGAAATGAAATAATCTTGCACTATTTCAAGGCTATTGACCCAGAAGTAAAAAAAAGCCTGTAATATTAGAGGGATACATGAGACCCTCCAAGATTGGTATTCAATGTCCCTCATGCTAGACAGGGAGATCAACCCACACACAAAAAAAAACCCTCCTGAAGGCCCTCCTAGGAGAGCGGTGATCAGACAGCCTCTGACCAGACCTGCTAAAGTTGTTCCTACCCGACCCACCAGAATGATAAAGTGTTATCGTTGTGGCCAGGAAGCCCATAAGGCAGCCAACTGTCTGGCTCCTACACCTGTTCCACAAGCTCCACCACCAACGCCTAATACAGCCACCAGAGGTCAAAAAATTCCACAGAAGCCTCCCGACACTAGCTGGTTTGCTAGACACACCGTAGAGGGTGCCCTCCACACAGAATGGAACGATGAACTTCTGGGCCAGGAAATTCTCCCCACTGAAGCCAATGAAGAAGATGACCCCATGGTGAGTGCTGCCATCACCCCTTTTACAGTCAAAGTGAAGTTGGTGGTGCCTGATACAGGGGAGACAGGGGAGATAGAAGCCCTAATAGATACAGGGTGTTCCAGATGCCTTATTGGTCTCCCTATCTTTGAAAAATTAGGTATAAAAACAAAAACCCTGAAACGCCCAATCAGGTTTGAACAAGTAGATGGAACTTTAATTGGGGGGATTCTGGCCACCCAAATGACAGTTAATCAACCTATAGATGGGCAATCACCGTGAACTCATACATTTTACAGTGGCTCCAAAGATGTCAGAATCTGTCATATTGGGACTTGCTTGGCTGGATAAATGGGAGGATGGATACCGAAAAATCATAATTGGGGTTGGCCCACTGCCCCCCTTCCTCTCACAAAGAAACTGCCACCCAACAGAGATCCCCAACCTGAAGCAGCAGCCACCGCCCCAGACTCTCCTCCAAGTGCGCCCCAAATCCCCAAACAATACAGGGACTTGGCTGAGGTGTTCAGCGAAGAGGAATGCAATGTGTTACCTCCCCATTGAGCCACTGATTGTGCTATAGAGTTAGAACCCGGGGCAAAACTGCCAAAACCAAAGATGTATTCCATGACACCAGCTGAAATGACTGAGTTAAAAAAAATACATTGACAACAATTTGGACAGAGGTTTCATTGAACCTGCCATATCTAGGTTGGCCGCCCCAGTGCTATTCAAAGAGAAGAAAGATGGTGGGTTGAGATTATGTGTTGATTTTAGGGGCATAAATGCTGTGTGCATAAAAAACATGTACCCCCTCCCCCTCATGAAAGACTTATTAAACCACCTGTCAGAAGGCAAGGTCTTCACCAAACTAGATCTAAGAGAAGCTTACTACCGAGTCCACATAAAGGAGGGAGACAAATGGAAAACTGCCTTCAACTGCCCTTTGGGTAGTTTCCAATTCTGAGTCATGGCTTTCAGGCTCCAGGGCCCCCCCGCAGTATTTATGCAACTCATCAATGAAGTGTTACATCCACACCTATACCAATGGGTCCTCATCTACCTGGTGACATTCTTATGTTCAGTGAAACCATCGAAGAACATGTCAAATTGGTCAAACAAGTGCTGAAAAAACTTTTAGCTGCCAAGTTATATGTAAAACTGTCAAAACACGAATACCACAAAGAGTCACTGGATTACCTAGGCTACTGAGTATACAACCAGAGAATTGAGATGGACCCTGGAAAAGTGAGAGCAGCGCTAGATTGGCAACCCCCCAGAACATGTAAGCAACTTCAAAGCTTCCTGGGTTTTGCCAATTTCTATAGATAATTTATTCCTTCTTTTGCCAAGGTCACCCTTCCTTTGACAGAGTTATTGAAAACTGGACCTTCCCCCAACAAACCGAAGCCCAGTCAACCCCTTGCTTGGACAATGGACTGTCAGAAAGCTTTTGAGACTTTCAAACACTTATTTGCAGCTGAGCCCATTCTCCAGCACCTGGACCCCACCAGACCTTTCACAGTCCAAGCTGATGCTAGTGATGTGGCTGTCGCGGCCATTCTTCACCAAAAGGACTCTCAGAACCGGCTAATGCCTTGCACTTATGTGTTCAAAAAGTTGACAGAGACAGAGTGTAGGTGGGCGGTTTGGGAAAAAGAAGCATTTGCAGTGCGATGGGCTTTGCTGTCTTGGAGGCATTTCCTGGAAGGGTTGAAGGAGCCGTTTGAGGTGTGGACTTATCACAAGAACCTCAAGGCTCTAAAGACACCTTGGAAACTATCACCTAAACAAGTCCGCTGGGCTCAATACTTCAAGTGGTTCAACTTTAACATGAAATATATCCCAGGAGGAAAAAACATATTAGCGGATGCCCTATCCAGAAAACCCCAGTTTGAAAGTCACTGTGAAGAAATTATTGAAAAGAAATAGACCAAATAAGGAATATCTACATGAAATAATGGTGAATTTGATAGCAACAGCCCTACAGAAAGACAAACAGGAAATTGAGAATGACATCGATGAGGTCTACAGAGCATATACCTGTTGAGGTAATTCCCCGTTCGGAGAATGAGTGCATACAGGGAGACGTATTTGAGAGTAGTGTTTGAATAATACACATACAGCACACAGATACACTGTACAGTAAATGTAGGTTTTTACTTCCAGAAAGGTTTAAGCAAAGTTCAAAACAAGCAGTCCAAAGTCATTCACAGGTAAAATCAGTCAGTTTTCATCCAGGAATAATCCAACAACGAAGTCCAGTGTCAAAAACAGTTCAGTGGCAGACTTACATCAAATCCAGGAATATCAGTCAATTAGGAAGAACGGCAAAACTCTCCAACACAAGGAAACAGAGACTGACTCACACTCTCTTCTGAGACTAAGACTAAGACAACCCAGGTTTCTGGCTCCATCTTATGGCCGTTTGAGAAACCACACCCAATTACACTTTTATGATTCTCTTAAAGAGACTATTAAAATGTCTATCCTGGTTTATATATTGTCCAACCCAAATAGCTGTTAGGTTACTTACATTCCTAACAATACCCATTATACCCGAAGACACAGACTACCCCGAGAAATCCACATCAGATTTGCGAGAAAGACGATACAAGACATGTTATATGGCAAGACCAGAGAAGAGCCACTGATATATAAAGATCATGAAGTGGTAACGTTGAAGCAAATACCTAGGAGAGTTAGGGAGCAAAG